AAGGTTTTGGTTTCTTGTTATTAAAGTACATTCCAGTTAAGCTTGTCTTGGCAGTCGTTACTGGATGGAGGAGGGAGTCAGAACAAGTCACTAAATGAACTGTTGTAAGTCGAGGACTCCCTGTAACCTGGTTGTTAAGCAGTGGTGGGTTCCGGATCCTGTTCCAACTGGTACAGTTGGAACGGGCCCGGTGGTGTCCACATGGATGCGTGCAGCACGCATGCGTCTTAGCGCCACTGTGAGCCTCCGCGACACTCCAGCTGCTCAGCGGAGCATCACTCAGGCGCTGTACGCGACGTTTGTATACACGGAAGCACAGAAGTCTTAAAACACCGGTAAGGAGCTCAAGCTTGCGGGTGGGCCGTCCGGAGCACCGTACTGGAACGGTATCTGGTGCTCCGGGCTGGCTCCGGTACGCCTATATCAGGGAGTACCGCCTACAACCCACCACTGTTGTTAAGTGAATCTGGCTTCTCCATTGACTTTGCTTGTCAGAAGGCCACAAAAGGTGATCACATGACCCCGGGACACTGCAACCGTCATTAATATGAGCCAGTTACCAAGCATCTAAATCTTGGTCACATGACCATCGGGATATGCAATGATCATAAACAGGGGTGGGCTGCTGGGGGTTTGCAAGGGTTCAGGAGAACCTCTAGTTAAGATTCTGTGCAGTTTGGAGAACCCACAAATCCCACTCCTGGCTGGCCCCACCCACCCCTCCCCTTCCCTCCCAGGAGTCCCCATGCCAGAGGTGGTTTCCTACCAGTTCAGACCGGTTCGGCCCAAGCCTGTGATGCCCCTGAACCGATTCTCCTATGGGACCACCATTTTGATTCTTGGTCCTGCTCACGCTCAGGACAATTGTGATTGCGCAAATTTAATTTTGTTCCATTTTTTAAAATGTTTTGTGCATGCACAGTCCTATTTTTGTGCAGGTGCTGTGCATGCGAGCAAAGCGTGCACATGCTAAACCAGCAGTAATGCCGGGAGCAACCCACCCCTGTCCCACGCGGCCCGTTTTGGATTCAGATAGCAATAGCAATAGCAGTTAGACTTATATACCGCTTCATAGGGCTTTCAGCCCTCTCTAAGCGGTTTACAGAGTCAGCATATTGCCCC